CATGGCCATCTACTGGCCTGGCATGAATAATACATCGTTTTTAGTCCGTTTTTACTACATCGCTGTCATGTAAATGTACCCTCGGTGTGCATCTGGTTAGAAGAACACGTACTACCGTTCCAAAGTTTGGGGTCAGTGATATTATTATGATGGTATTAGATATTAGACTGATTTCTGAAGGATCATGTGACACTGAAGACCGGAGTAATGATGCTACAAATTCAGTTTTGCATTACATTACATTTTAGAATATATTCAAATAGCGATTGTGATATTTCACAATATTATTATTATTTTTTTTAGGTTTGCCAGAAAAATGGTGCTGCTGCTTTCAAAAAATGTAAAAAATCGTACCGATCCCAAACATTTAAACGTTTTGCCTTAACTTCAGTTCACGGTTCATCTCGTACATTGTGTTCCCTTTTCATTCTGAGCACCAGTTCAGCAAGGGCAGAAATCATGCTTTTTTTTGTCATATATCTTTTTTTTTTTTTTTTTTTGCCCAACACAGGGCTCTGGGGATTAGATAGGAGCCGACGTCTCTGACTTTTATTCTTGTTTTCCAGATTATTCATACAGCTTAACACACTATCATAGGAGAAACACACAGAGAGCAAAAATAGTCTCTTCACAGAGGAACGTCAGTCAACCGCGTCTTCCTTTTCACAGATATGTATTTGCACTAGACATCAGCTGTCAAAGCGTAAGTGACGGGCCGCTCCTTCGCTGAAAAGACGGAAAGCGTTCCCATGGCCCCAAAGGTACACCCTTGTGCACACGAGACCTCGGATATTCAGGAGCACGGGCGTATGAGCAGAATCTCCACATTACTTGGCGATTTCATTGAAGCGAGGCTTTTTGGAAATTAAGACAATGCACTTTAACAAAACCCCCTCAAGTGTTGCCATAAAGGCTCTTTTGTCTCTGTATGAATTTGCATAAGCTAGAAGACTCTTTCTAAATGCTGCAAAATTAGTAACCTAAAAGCAAATGGTTTGGAGATTCCGGTCCGGCAGCTGAAGTGCTCTTGCGGGTCTTTAGGAGAAAAGCAGTTTTTGTCCACAGCGGAGGTCCCGGAGCAGAGGTCTCCAAGTCATTAATCACGGCCATCTTTTCAGCTGCCAGTCCATACAAAAGGTGACCCCGACTTCACAATGGGCCTGGCAATAAAGAGGCTGTTTAAGGGGGGTTAGATATAGTTTACTGCGGATTATTGCGGGAGTGCCACACATTTATATTACAGTGGTCTTAAAGAGCTTATCTGCTGGGAAATGCTGAGAGCGAGTCGGCCATATTGTCCCACTCGTACTGTTGGGGGGTTTTTTTGTGCTTTTAAGAGGATCTAGAACCAAATTCCATTATGATTAAGCTTTCTATTTTTTGATGCGTGGGTTGACTTGTAAATCTTTATTTTATTTATTTTTTTACCAGCTTAGACAGAGACTGAGACTGGTGTCAATCTCGCAAAGCAATATCCAGACTCAAAATCAAAAGATTTATTTTTATTATATAAAAATGTTCATTGTCAAATTAAAAATATTTGTTTTGCATAAACAAGATTTTTAACCTATGATTTTTTATTTTTTTTTATATTGTTTTCATGACCGTTAAGCACATTATCTTGCATATTTGGCATTACTTTAATGTGAAAAAAAAGATAATTACAGTAATGAAAATACGTCCGTCTGGACTCAAAAGCTTTTTTTAATTTAAAGTAAAATGTAAATGTTCATTTAGTTCAGCATTCTAACACTATCTATACTTTTGAAATTATTTTTGTTTACACTTAACAATAAGGTTCATTAGTTAACATTAAACATGAACTAACAAGGAGCAATACATTTGTTACAGTATTTAGTAATCTTTGTTAATGTTAGTTAATAAAAATCCAGCTGTTCATTGTTTGTTCATGTTTGTGCATTAACCTTTGATTTTAATCGTGTAATAAATGTATAATATTAACTAAGATTACTAAATGCTGTAGAAGTATTATTCCTTCTTAGTTCATGTTTATTTATGGTATTCTATTAACTAATGTTAACTAATGAACCTTATTGTAAAGTGTATCCTAATTTTTTTTTCAACACTACATTATTTTCATGACAATTACTGTAATGTTAAGAAATATCGATACTAAAGCACATATAACCCAATGTTTTTAAAATAAATGTTAAATCCAGTCCAATGAGTTTTTTTTTTTAAATTCTGCATAAGAATTTATATTTTGCCTTAAGAAAATTTCACCTATTTTTAGAACTGTTTTTTTTTTTTATTATTGTGATATTTTGAAAATATTCTGTCTGGATGTAAAAGCTTTTTTTTTATTAAAATAAAATGTAAATATGTCATTCAACCAATACTTTGTTCTATTTTACACATTCACTTTATAATTTAAGCAGTATCTCATTGTTTTTCTTCATAATGTTACAGAGAATGGGTTTCATTTTTTTTGTTCAAAATAGATCTCAGGTGAGATGTGACCCAGATGTGTTGCTGGCAATTTCCGTAAGATTATTTTTATTGTGTATTCTATTTTTAACAGCACGTTGCATGCTCTGCTGGCAGATGCAGTGGATGAATAGTGCTGTATGGTCGGAGACGTCTGAAACCCGCAAAGCCTGTGGTTTAATCCATTACAGATACCAAACCTTGTATTGTCAGAAACGCTTGATGTGGATCTGAGCTGAAGTCCAGGAAATGAAATGAATCAAGCAGGGAAACCTCACTATCTTAAGTGAGCCTTAGAGAAAACAATGACCCAACCTCTAATCAACTTCATAAATCCACATCGACATGTTTAAGACCTCCTCCGCAGCTCCGGTTCTGTGTGATATCCTGTCCGGGGAAAATCAAGGGACCTATAAATTGATGTCAGGTTGTGTGATATAACAGTGGCGCCTACACCGATATAGTTCTCTCCACACAGCCATTTTGTTTTTACACTATGCTACAAAGTGTCATTTAGTTACAGAGATGGCATGCATTATTGCTGACAAGCTTGCATTACGAAGGTCTAATGTTTCTCACAATGCTGTTTGCTTTGTAATGCGGATTTGGGATGAGGCTGGAATATTAATGAGGCAGATGATAATGTAGATTCCTTTTCCTTGTGTGTAAAAAGAATAACGCAGCAAAAATGCTAATTTACTCACCCTCATGTCACGGCCGGCTAGTAAGAGCTGTGCAAGTAAGACTCACTCACCCGGCATCGAGAGGCGCACTACCAACTGACGGTCTTTAGCGTCCTTGTTAGCACGGACGGTGACACCATTTCGGGAACGCAGGTTCAAGCAGGAGGGGTTACATTGGTGCAGTGACCCGGATGGGAGTGAGGTTTAAGGGGGTGAATGTAACTGAGGCCAGCTAGTAAGAGTTGTATGAGTAAACGCTACTCCCCTGTCCTCAAGAGGCGCACTAGAGACCGCGGTCTTTAGCATCCTTGTTAGCACGGACGGTGACACCATTTCGGGAACGCAGGTTCAAGCAGGAGGGGTTACATTGGTGCAGTGGCCTGGATGGGAGTGAGGTTTAAGGGGGGGAGTGTAACTGAGGCCAGCTAGTAAGAGTTGTATGAGTAAACGTTACTCCCCTGTCCTCAAGAGGCGCACAAGAGACCGCGGTCTTTAGCATCCTTGTTAACGCGCCTCCCTCCCATGCCGAAAACACCGGCAGAATCCCTCTCGGAGCGAGTAGAACCCAAGGGGTTACATTGGTGCCGTGACCCGGATGGGTGAGTGTAGTGTAGGCCAGTAAGAGCTGTGTGAGTAAACCTCACTCCCCTGACCTCAAGAAGCGCGCTAGAGACTGACGCTTGAGACGTCTTTAGCGTCCTTGTTAGTGTGCCCGCCTCCCATGCCAGAAACACCAGTTTGAATCCCGCTCAGAGCGGTGCTAGTAGAACCGGAGGGGTTACGCAAACAACCAAAATGGATGGTGATTGGGATATATGCATGTGTGTGTGTGTGTTTATATAATCTAATGTGCTCAACACAAGTCATGTGGGTGAGTAAATGATGACGAACTGTCTTTTTTTTAGGTGAACTATATTTAATATATTCCCCAGTGTTTTGTGAGGAATAGTCACACTTTTATCTGAATCTTGGCTGCTGCAGTTTGATAGTCGTGACAGGACTCTGAAGGGTGTATTGTTGCATTGGCCGTTGACTCACAGCGTCTAAACCACAGACCAAACAGAAGGACACCTGCCACTTAAAAATCTGCTGGAAGCGCAGCGTTTTTCTCAAAGGCAGGGAGGGGGATTCAACTCATAAAGTTTACGGCCACAAGATTTGTTGTGCTGTATTTTTTTTAAATGGATCCTGGTTTACAAGATGCTGCAGTGCCGCATTATGTCACCCCGACTTGGGAGAACCATTTTAAAGGATTGTCCAGAAATCTTCTTTTTTTAACTTGTCCTTTAGGGTCTTGACAAAAATGTTCCAGCTGGAAATTTGTTTTAAATTCCTCTCAGCTGCCCGAGTGAGTGGCACACTAAAATAGCTGGGTAGTCGAATCCTATGAATAGATATGATTCAATATGGAGTGATGTTCTGTATTTTTATGTTGATTTTTTTATTTTTTTTAAGAAAGTAATATTTTTTGTTTAGCAAGGACGCATTAAATTGATCAAAATTGACAGTAGAACATTTTACACACAGAAAAATCGTTTAAAATAATTAGTTCTTTTGAACTATTTAGCAAAAAAATACTGAAAATATTATTCAGCTGTTTTCAACATTGATAATAGTAATAAATGTTTTTTTGAGAATTTCTTAAGAATCGTGTGACACTGAAGACTGGAGTAAATTCAGCTTTGTTATCACAGGAGTAAATTTCATTATCAAATAGAAAAGTTGTACAATTTTTACTGTGTTTTTGATCCAATAAGTTAACCCTAGGTGAGCACAAAAGACTAATCCCAAACTTGTTAGGTTTTAGCTGTAGAAACAGATTACAAGTCGTAATCACGGTCTTTTCCCCCCTTCTGTGTCTTCTTCTAGAATCCTACGGACTGAACTGGCTTATTTCCCTCCCTTTGATGTTGAGACAAGAGAAAAGGTTGCCATGGAAGTGAAAGAACGCAGACCCTACCGCTCTCTGACCTCCAGGCGGGACACGGAGCGCCGGTACACCAGCTCCTCCGCTGACAGCGAGGACGGCAAGCTCAACCCCAAGTCCTACAGCTCCAGCGAGACCCTCAAAGCTTTCGATCAGGACCCCAGATTGGCCTATGGCAGCCGAGTCAAAGACGTGGTGCACCACGAAGCCGATGAGTTCAGCAGGCAAGGTGAGCGGGGCAAGATCTCACATGTCTGATCTCTCACCGCCATGCCAGGGATAAAACCACAAGTGTCTTTGCAAACTGATTTCTTATTCGAGGCTGTGTTTTCCAAACTTGGCTGGAATCGCTTTGCTTGGGTTACGGTTTGCATGGACTCCAATATGGTTTGCATTTGCCCTGAAAGCAATCTGGCCCAATTTGCAGAAGTGAACCGTTATTGATGACATTATAATTTGCCTATTAAAGTATAATGCATTTCTGATTGCTGCATGTCTCCACAGGATTTACCTTCGGCCAGCAGCAACAATACTGCATTTTTCAAATCTGTTCTAGCAGACAGACACAAAAGACAGACCTGTACAGGAACAGTTTACCCAAATTTGAAAATCGTGTCATTATTTACTCATCTACATGTCATTCTAACCCCATATGCTGGATTTCTTTTTTCTGTGGAAAGTTTTTATGTTCATGCTGCTCTTTTCCATTATTAGTGACCAGAGGCTTTCAGACTCCTAAAACACAGCAACAACAACAAAAAACACTATCAAAACACAATTATAGAGGTCCATAATGGTGTGATATATTCCAAGTCTTTTAAAGAAATACAATAGAAAATAAAAGCACAACCATTTGGACATAAAGGTAAATAAATAATGATTTGCTATAGTTGTAGTACAACTAAATAGGCAAAAATGTGAGTACAGGAATGCAAACTTTGCAACAAATTTGACATATTATTAATACTATAATATTATTTCTTTATTGATTTGTTTCATTTGATAAAAGTAACATTATTATTAATAATATTTTTAGATTTAAGATTTGTCTTGTTAAATGGATATTTAGCATTAGAGCTTGATTTGGGGTTGTGAGTGCCTAATAATATTCATTATTTACAACAACAACAAAAAAGAAGAAAATTTGAAAGATTTGATAATTCCCCTAAATGAGCTGTATTAAAACTTTTGATGGCAAGAATATGGTAATGATCCCTGATGCATGACCTGTGTGTTTGTTATTTTCTTTTTGAAGTGTGGAACGCTGCAACCTTGATCGTTGTACTTGCCCTCTTCATATTAAAGCACATATCATGCTTGTTAAAACGAGACGAACTATTACACTTTGAGAGAGCTCATCTCACAGGCTCCAGATCAGCGGCGCATCTTTCAGATATACGCCTCAGAGAGTGATCGCATTCAAGCAATTAAGAGAGACTGCGGTGACGATTTGATCCGTCGCTAATATATTCCAGCCGTTTTGAAAAAAAGAAGCCGTATCTAAAACCGGAGAGATAAAAGGAAAGGCGAATGCGGTGTTGTAGCTTTGCCATTAGCGTGCTGGGACTTTAATGAGAGGGGGGTGCCGTGAATGCTGATTCGCTGATGTCTTTTATGACCTTCTAATGTGTCCAGTTGATGGTGACCTGAAAAAATATCCACTTCCCCTCCATGAATACTAAATGCCATGTTTCTCTCAGGCACGCTAACTACTATTACGCTCACTCTCAGGCATAAATCTGTAATTTGCTGTAGCTCACGGCTTCCCTTTTCCTCGTACTTTGGCCTCCACCAGGCATGAGCGCACTCGGAATTTAATGTTCATTTGAGGTTGTGGGTTTGAGTGTTCCATTTTGAGTAAACTTCTCGTTAGATTCCCCCCCCCAAATTTGATTAATTATTGGCTTGTTGATATATTGCTTATTCCCGGTTAATTTGGAGTCTCATACGAGCAGGTGCTCAGTTAAAGGTGTTCTCTTGTAACAAATACGTTCAAAACGCAGTGACCTAGACAGCATTTTAAGGCAGCACAGGTTCTGTATAAGTTAGCCTACTTTAGAAGATGCGTAGAAGTATAACTGTGAAAACACGGAAAGTTGGAAAATTCTGTCAATGGCATTGAATTGTTGTCTCGGTAACAAGGTAATATGACGGTAAAATTCCTACAATGGCGGGAAAGAGTTAAATGTAATTAAGAAAACAACTTTTCACTCAGAAACGTTTGTTATGCCGCATTCAGTTTGGATGTCAGAGGTGTTCCAGTTAAAAGTTCCTACTGGAAACAGCACTCAAGTTTGGAAGTAAACATCACATTAATTTATGACTATATCTGTAAAAACAAATTACACTTGTAATTAATAATTGTAAGTTAATAGTTTACATTGTACGGCCTTTTTAACTCTTTCCCCGCCATTGACGTAATTGTCCGTCTTTCAGTGTTTTCGCTGTTATACGGTAGGGGGCGCTATTACACATCTTCTGAAAGACTACTGAATCTCCTGATTAAAACACTGGCGAAGAAGCAGAAATAAGTGGTAGCATATGTAAGCAGAAGATGTATGTAAATTATGCGATCAACATTAAACAGCATATACATCAAAACTGCCTAATGTTCCTGAATGAAATGTCGACCCAGGACGAGGTGGTAGGACTCAAGTGTGAAGCTTTCGGTTTGTTGATGGATTCGATTGTCTGCATCTGTTTTGAGATCATCGTTCTGAATCTGATCCAGACGTCTTTGGTAAAATCTTGATTTTCTCAGCTTTTTTATGAAACCCACATTTAAGAGTTGATAAAAAAAAAGAATGCTTGAAGCTATATAAAACGTTTATTTTTTATTTTTTATAAAGAATAGGCTCTGTTCTTTCTTTTGATGTATTGCAAGATGTTCATACAACAGAATATTCTGGTGTCCTTGAAACTTTTGTGAAAATGATAAAAAGTGCTGGCGCTGGCTGGCAACTTTTTTCAAAAATGCTTGCGGGGGGAAAAAGTTTATACTATTACTACTTCTACTACTATTATTATTAGACATTTCTATCATAACTTAACCATATGAAACCAATATGAAATGAGATGGAGAAAATGAATTGGGGTAGGGAGTTCCAGACTCCTGTTTTTAGTCTGTTCTGGTATGCATTGCACAGAATGTATTTTCTCTCATTGTGTTCTTGTGTGTTGTATCAGGGGTGGACTTCTCTCTCAGAGACATGGCCTTTGGAGATCCCGTGCCGCCCCATATGGCAGCGTATAGGACAGAAATGGGCCTTCCCCACCGCGACTACTCCGTGAGCGTGGGATCAGACGCTGACACAGAAACGGACGGCATCATTTCCCCCGAGCACGCCGTCCGACTCTGGGGCCGGAGCAACACCAAATCCGGCCGGAGCTCCTGCCTCTCCAGCAGAGCCAACTCTAACCTCACCCTCACTGACACCGAGCATGAAAATACAGAAAACGGTGAGTTCAAATGTCTGTACGGTCTCTTCACAGCTCGGCTGAGAGCAGGAGTGGGTCACCAGGCACAGGGGAACGTCTCCAGTTTAGCACCACGTCAGTTCAGATTGAATGTGTGATGCCCCTTTTATATGGAAATGATGCGTGGTTTGTAGAGGCGGATTTTGTGACATTCTAGTTTAGCTTTAAAGCACAAGCATTTCAAAAACCAAAGTAAGAGAAATGACATTTTCCCCCTTCACATGTGGATCAAAACAACTTCAGTATTAAAAGCGAAACCATTGGTGTAAATGAAATATTTTCTTCTTTTAAATTTAGATTTTTAGCATTTTTTTGGATCAAATAACTGTTTAAAATCAAATGCTGGACTCAAACTCAGGAGCGTGTGCACTTTCTGCTAGGCCATGACTATGACACTTGTAATATTTTTCATTTCATTATCTGGTGACCTTTCTTGCACAATGTTGGATTTTATTCAGTGTGCGGTTATATTTTACAGACGGATTATGCACAATATTTCAGCTGAGATTAATTTATTATTGATTATGAACTAGTTGCTTATTAGCATGCATATTACTAGGATATTGGCTGTTTATTAGTACTTATAAAGCACATATTAATGCCTTATTCTGCATGACCATGAACTACATCCCTTAATCCTACACAGGGATTAGGAGTTTATTGAGGCAAAAGTCATTGTTGATTTCTTGTTAATAGTGAGAATTGGACTCTAATCTAAAGTGTGACCATCGGACAGAAACCTCATAATTCCATATTTCGTATATATATATATATATATATATATATATATATATATATATATATATATATATATATATATATATATATATATATATATATATATATATATATATATATATATATATATATATATATATATATATATATATATATATATATATATATATATATATATATATATATTTTTTTTCATCCACTATTGTCCACCCTTTACATCTGTCTATTGGTTTTTGCAAATATTTAACCAATGAAAACTACAGCTATTAAAAGAGCTTGTGACTAAACATTGTAACTCCATTGTATCCTTAAGCTCAAACCTCATAACTCCACTTGCCTCTATCTTGAATGAAGTACCGCACATATTTTGGACCAATGCAATGCAAGGGTAAATAAATAACTGCTTGTTTGAATAAATACAGCATTTTCTTTAGTCAAGAAATGCTGTATATACAAAGGCTAATGTTTATGTATTTGAGGAGTGGAGAAGAGTGTCTTAGTCTAGCATTTGTCGTCGAGTCATAGCCAGTACTGCCATAAATAGCCCGTGCGTAGCACTTCATCTTTTAATAAAATGAGATTATGGCAAAATGACAGAAAAAAAAAACAGTGCCCACATAGTTACAGTAAACTTTATAACTTGCAAGTTGATGAGAACTTAATGTGACAAACTTACTGCCTCAGATGCGGCCGTTCTAATGATGGACACAACACACACATGAAATTAGCTGGTTAGAATCCTCATAACTCCATTTGAGCTTGATTTTGGTGAAATGTTAACAATATAATGGCACATGCTAGTGTTGGACCATTTATAAAGCCACGATACAATGTGGTGTTTTAATTATTTAAAAAATGCAATGTTTTTTCCGTTTCCATAAAAGTAGCATTTTTGGAGATAAATTATGAATTTAATTCTTTAGTTATTCATGTACTGTAGTTACTTAACCAAGCAGTTGCATGTTGATGAATTATCCTTATGGTAAATATAATACAATTGATGTATTTAGCATTTTTTTTTTTGTAATAATCTCCAAAGGGATGTCTATACGTCGGAGCTAGCAGAGGTCAGATGCTCTCTGATGAGATTAGTGGCTCAAACAGAGCAGGCAGCCATCCTGGATCCATCCTCCTCAAGCTTTGGTGCTTTCAAATGGTCCCCAAGGGCCCAATGAGTGTCTTTGCTTGCATAGAAGGTCACATTGTACCGAGACAGTGTCACAGTGAAACTTGTCAAGTGCAGGGCCTGATTACGCAAGAGGAACGGCACAGAGAACTGCAGGGATATATGGGAAATCTCAGCATGAAATGTAAATGTTCGCTGTTTATTTCATGCATTAAGTACTTAAACACTTATTTAACCAGTATAAACATCTCTTAAAGTTGAATAATACAATTAACCTTTAGAAAAACTGCAGATAAATGATATTTATTGAATGGCCTTTGAGTTGTGCTGGCTAGCAGACTTCAGTTTAAAAAAAAAAAAAACACGTCAGCATATAGCCACTGTTTTTAGTGGAAGGTCAGTGAACTTGTAGTTAAAAAAAAGAAGTATATTACATATTTGTTAGCTTTTAAACTTTTATAATTCCAGTACTACAAACAAAGTGACGTATTTATTTATTTATAGCATCACTGTTACCATTACATTTTGGTATGTAACTTTTACTGTTCATGAACAATTTTTTGTTTGTTTGTTTGGGGAAAGGTGCGCTTTAAATTTCCTAAGCAATTTAAAAATGTAAATTTTGTTTGGCAGTGGGGCAAAAAAATCCATATCTAATAACTTATGAGGAAAAATTGGAATATTGCATAAAACATTTGCAAATGAAGCAATGTTTCCATCCCATGTGTTCAAGAGAACAAAATCATCGCTTCCTGGGAAATTGGTGCAAAAGATCTGTAATAAAAATGGAAGTTGCTGCAATCGGGGGAAGAACCCATTTTCCTCCATCAGAAATGACTTGCGTCTCAGAGCGCGCAAACGAAACGCAATAAACGCTGTCATGTTATCTTGCGTTTGGATTCTGGTGTTTGGGAACGCAATCATGCGAGACGCTTCTGGGAAGGAATTAAACCAAATCATTCTGATTACAGACTTTAGCTCGGGTGTTTCAGAATGATCAAAGCAACATTTGAGATGCCGTGATGCGATTGGTCCGCTGGTTAGTCCAGTTATCCAATCACATCCACCGCTGCGGAAAAGTCATGTGAGTGTTTTGTTGCGCATCAAGGTATTTATTCAGGTAAATGAGTTTTCCGTCGTAGTTTATGAGCATGTCTTCTCATCAGGGGCCGGTTTCACAAAGATAGACTTTGACTATGGCTTAGATATAGTAGATAGTCAGACTTCAGACATCTAAATCAGACCGTTGCACAAAGCGCTTAAGACTCTGACTATCTTAAGTAGGACTACACTGCAATGCATTCTGGGTAAAATAAGACACTTTTCAAAACAAAAAAAAAACATGGCGGATCGAGTAAGCGCATTCAACCGCTCAGTGCAGTTTACCCCAGCGGAAAATATGTGTTTGTTGGAGGAGTATAACAGTTACAAGGACATTTTACTTGGGAAATTTATCGAAGAATGTAGTAACAAGAAGAAATGTTTAATTTGGAAAGGGCCATTTTCCCTTTGCTTTTGGCGGTTTGTAATGTAACTAATTGTTACTGTTGGTTGGCAAGGTAACAGAGTCTTAGGCCTAAGTTAGCCTGGGGGAAAGGTGTCTAATTTTTTTGGTCTAAATTAAGTCAGTCTTTATTTTTGTGAAACAGTCTAACTTGCATTAAGTGAGCCAATTTTAGACTTGTCTAACACTATAGACCGGTCTAAAATAGCTTTGAGAAACCGGCCCCAGATAAAAATGTATCCAGCTCAGTTGAGCGCATTACTGTTTTTTATGCACATTTTTCGAATTTATGCGCATCTCCAGACGTTTTTTTTTTATGCGATGTCCCAATATGCACATAAAAATAGGTGTATGGAAACATAGCTCCTGAGACTTGAGCATGGGCTCTTTTGACCACCTGGTAATGTTTGGACCTAAACCATTATGCGGACGTCCTCCTCCGTAGCTACAGCACAAGGCTTTCTTCAAGGTTTCTACCATTTAAGCACCTGAGTTCGGCACTCTTCATATCCGCAGCCTAGTTAAGTCTTAATCACGCTCTCGTTTACAATGTACCTTATGCATATTCGCTGCCAAACTCTGATAGTGCCTCTAACAGCCTTTAGAAATCACACATCAAGGGCCCGGCAGCCAAATACTAATTGCCTTTTGCACCACAGTCTCCCCGAATGCCTACAAATAGTCTGTTTTGCACTGAAGCACTCCGTCATTTTAGCTATTAGATTCTTATTTAAAAGGACAGAGGTGTTCCTTTGTGCTGCATCACATTTTATGCATAGACATCAGTGATGGACTTAAAAAGAAAATGGAATATGTCTGTCTGAACGTCGTGAAACGCTGAGGTGAGGCCAACCCAAATGCGCGTTAAACTGGATTTGATGACTGTGAAAAGTAAATGCCCTCCGTGTATATCTTTATTCGCAGCTTTAGGCGTCTTTTTGACTGTTGTAAAGCAGACATAATTCAAAATTGCTTTTCATTCTGTTCATCCAAGCAGAAACGCCAGTTGCATTTACTGTTTTTTGAGGTAATGCTTAGTAATACACATTTTAAATGGCAAGTTAACTGAATCCTATTGAGTTATCCAACTTACTTGTGTTTTATCACTTTAAAGTTGGACTAACAATAATTAAAATGTACATTTTTAGGTTTTTGGCTATGTAATATTCAGTGTTGTATTATTTATTCATTATAGCTTTTATTATATTTTCAGTTTTCATTTTGATTTTATTTTGATTTTAGTAAATGTATGTGCGTTTTATTATTTGATTTCAGCATTATGTCAATGATTTTCATTAGTTTTAGTGAACAATCTCTTTAACAACACTGGTAATATTATGGTATTTGAATGTTGTAACTGTTCAATATTTAATTGCCCTCGGATACCATTACAATCATTTTATGTAAGAGAAATAACAACAATTTCTGTTTTCTAATGATCCTTTCGCCAGTTGGTAAGGGAAGTTGCTATAAAGCATTAGTTCACATTGAGATTCAAGTAGATACATAAGTAAATAATCACGTTGCCATTGCTTTTAGAGCTCATTGGATTAAAATGAGCAGAGGAACGTCTTGGTACATAAAGAGAATTTCAGAATCACTCAGATTCATTTA